ACTACCACCATCATCTTCACCACTACCACCATCATCTTCACCACTACCACCATCATCTTCACCACTACCACCATCATCTTCATCACCACTATCATCATTACCATGCACCACCACCACCACCACCACCTTTGCCGCTATCATCAACACTACTATTCCTTATTATAATTACCACCCCATCAATCTCCCTAGACATCATCATAATCATCACCACCATTATTATAATCATAAACAAAATGTTGAGAAATGTAGGATGATAATAATTTAATATCCAGCTTTATTGACCCCGTAAGTATAAGATATATACGGCAATATACTTTAAAACTACAGATACAAAATATATATGTAATAATAACTTAATGCATATACAAAATGAAATACACAAAATATATAAAAACTCTGGGTTCAAAATTTACTTGCATGAAATTTGTGCCGAAGTAATAAAAATAAAATTCAAAAAAAATAAAAATGTTATTTAAATAATAATAATAAATAAATTGTTTTGTTTACCTAGTTTTCTTCTTTTTTTTTTGTTGTCGTGATTCTAAAATGGATTCCACTGCTCCAAACCAATCAAAAAGCACAAGAACGCGGCTATAATCCAATCACATCAATCCTTGAATCTTAAAGCCATTTGAGTGTTGCGTTTCCATACGTCTGCTATACTGCGAGTAAGAATGTGTGATTGTGGAAAACTCACGGTGCGGATCGCCGTGGTGTGACCTTGAGGGTAAATGACCTAGCATTTTAGCTGAGCAGTGATATCACGTGTGGGATTGCTTTTAAAAACGTTAACAATCCTGCGACCGTGCCRTGTACTGTGTTTTGTTCCACGGTGTATTTAATTTGAAAAATCCGTGGACTACTGCCACAAATTATAGCTTACTGCGCGCGTTTCTACTGATTCATATACCGTCGCAAGCATGGTGGGGGGGACCTTTAAATATTTGTTATACTTTCTACAATGGAAAAAGTAGAAACGATCGGACCGGGAAAAAAAATTGAAATATTAAGCAACATATTTATAGACTCCTGTGTCCCATTCTGCTCTTGCTCTATATCAAACCTTACTATGCTCTAATTCATCTGGTTTAATAAAATGCCAATGCCCGAGTCACTTGTTTTCCGAGCCACACAGAACTGAGTCATCACCGGCCAATATTTGGCGAGCGGGTTCTCAAAAACAGTTTCATCGACGAACATGTTTTCTCAATGCGCGATTAGTCAAATCAGTGTTAGAGTTAGAAAAAACGATATTGATGATTGTACTTAAATTAAGAGGCGCTAATGCACACTTTCTTAGCTGTCCCAGATTGGGCTAATCTTCAAGTGTTGGAAGTGGCATTTTGACTGGTGACTGTCCAGCTGCTTGGTTAAGATATTCCGTGGATTGCCGTTTCTCTACTGCGTCGAATGTCGCAAGCTGCGCTTTGGGTGGTGATTGCGTAGTGGTTTGGTCCAGGAATTCCCTAGCTCGTCTCTCCATCGCTTCCCATACATCATCCCCGGCCTTGAAATCAGGCTTCGATAAGCCCAATCGAACGCTAAGATTCCGCAAAGGCGTGCGACGAGAACTCGTATTCAGTGTATTTGGGTTATTCAAATCACTGTCACATTTTTCTAAAGTCTTTTCTATCTCCTCTTGGCGTGCATCTCCTGCTAATGAACTCACTAAGGATTTATGCAGTTGACGACATTCTTTACTCGATGGACCACWAGTTGACGCATATTTCATAAAAAGCGCATCCAACTTGCACACCAGATCTGAATTCGTACTAGCAAAGTGTTCAGCTAGTTCTTGGAGGACTTTGACTTTCTGTTTCTTCTGGTAGCTATCGGGATCACCGAACACTGAAGGAAGGACGTTTTGAGCACGTTGACGTACACGCACACTGACTTGCGAGAAAGACTGACCACCTCGTGCAAGACGATCTCCTACTTGTTTCAGAGGTTTAGGTGCATAATCATACGGGGACACATTCCARCGTGGGACAAGGTTAGTGTCCCACGTGACGAAGAACTTGTCCCCACCTAGGCTCCCCCCTCCACATTCCAGAGCGTGAGGTCGCGGCCCGTGTACTGGGAAGACGATGCAGTCAGCAAGGTAGCTGTACTCAGGGTGTTTCCTCTGAACTCGTAACACACGAACATCACCCGGGTGATAACAAGGGTAACGCATTACAACAACTCTATCAACGGCGGCCAACTCCTGTTTTTCTTCCTCAAACATCGTAGGACTAAAATAACATTCACCATATTTAAGCTTTTCGTATGGGTCACAAACACCAAAGACTATACGGGATTTGGGTACRAAAACTCGTAGACGGGTTTTTAGACCGTAGTGAGAGTTAGGAAGATTTCTGCCACCTTCAACTTGGTCTCCATGCTTCATATTCTGGATTTCAGCTTGTCTGAGTTTTTCGAGTTCATCTTGCAYTTCTTGAAGCCCAGAAGTTTGTAGTTTACAAAACAGTTCTGCTCTGCCGGTTGCTTTCAGAAAATAAGCCGCCCGAGATCTGTTTGTACRGAGGTTATCCAACATAACATAGTAATCTTCTTGCAGCTGTCTGAGRTAGTCATGTGACACACCTCGATCAGCCAATAGCATCACACTTTGTAAATTAAGATAGCCAATGGTGTAAGGCCTTGAGTAGTCTAACACTGCAAAGGTATCCAGGTCACTCCGCAGCCTCGCGTCTGCAATCTCAAACTTCTTCATAGATTCTCGGAACTCAACTTTGGCCGCATTTAAATCAGTACGAATAACGAGAACGCCATAAAACCCTTGATACAACATCAAAACAACGCAGGGTGGTACATGGAGCTGTTCGATCATCTGGATTTCTGCAGCAAATAGATGRGACATGTAGCCACACCCTCTCGTGAAGTTGTACTTTGTTTTCTGCACGTCTTTGATCACCACGTACTCATTTTGTCTTAGAGAGAGCGATTGTTGAAACCCTGTAAGCAGCAATCCAATGCATCCCGCTCGCTTGGAAACATTTTYAACTCGATCAAAGTTGATAAATTTTGCCAAAAAGTCGTAAATAGTAAGATCTGAGTCACTGACCAGATARCAWGTCTTTCCTCGAAGTCGGTACTTGGATTGACCCAGGAATCGATACGTAGAACCATCAAGAGAAACACCACGTCTGAGCACTTCTGATATGTAGCTACTCTCACCYTTCGCACACGGCCGAAAACACACAACCATGATCTTATTAAGTACAAGATTATCAGTGGTCTGCTTAATGTATTGGAGTAATAGGTTCTCTGGGATAGACTGGTAGGAAAATGACTGGAATTCCTCTCCTCTCATGATCACGTGTTTCACTCGACCACGTTCGATGTGTTCTGGGGGAGGGTGGACGACCAGACGGTCTGGAACAAAGTATGGATAGGCCATTTTCTATTTGAAGCCAGTTTTTAAAATTGTCTATATCATGTCTCACAAGAACTAATGTCCTTGATGGGCTTCCTGTTGTAAGGTTTCTTGCTGTTATAGTAACTTGCCATGACCCAACATTAGTGGCGGGAGAAGAAGTAATCTAAACACATAAAGAAAAGAAAATAGAAAAGTTAGTGTGCACACATCCACTTGGGCTAATGGTTTTCTATTTCAGACCATGTGTCATTTCTTTGTTTAATGGTTGCATACTATGATATGTGAAGACGTGAATTTGGATAAACAGTAACAAAATAATGCATTGAAGAAGAAAAAAAGATAAAACAGTGAAGTGAAGCACAATTTTCTCCTTGAGCTGGGGTTCAGACTCTACATGTCACCATAAAACTTGCCTCAATTGCAAACCATTATATTTTTGGGCAATATATGTAATATATACAGTATGAGTGGCCRTGTTGTATCAGATATACAACCACAAGGCGTAGCTGAAATTTTCTAAAATTTTCAAAATTAAAGTGAATTTGGCCAAGAAAATCCAACTTAAAGTTTATGCAAATGAACACAGTTTTGTATCAGATTTGCAATACTCTTCACGGTCGTGATTTCTGTTGTGTTTTCCTCATGAATTATTCATGAGTTTGATAATATCTTTTAAACTCTTTCTTGTCTGATCTATTATTTGTTAACCCCTAATTCTCCAAATGCCTGAGCTTTAGGTTTGAACACATCATTGTAAAGCAGAGCACTGATGGAGAGACATGATATAATAAATGATAATTTATTATCATTACAATATAATAAATGATATATTATTACRTGATGCTATTTGCAGTTATCAGGGCTTTCAGAATAAGCCAGTGGCCACTGGAGCTCCTGCGAATGCTACACTGTTAGCCGCTGGCTCTTTTTTCTTTTCTATGAAACACCTTTGTTCCTTGTATTGAATCACAGCCAGCTATGTTCAGACTTATGGCCAACCTACTCTAAAACATTCTGAATGCCCTGAGTCGATGGGGATAGGGGATATTTGAACCAAAAAGAGAATAAAGGAAGGTATAACATGGAAGCAGAATATTAAAAAACATCAATAACAGATGGATATGTTTGAAAGGAAATTTTGACAATAAATGATACAGAGAACAGCTGGCCTTATGTTCTTATATTCTTAGTTAGAGAATCAATGTTGACTAATATATGAATATAGACCCACTCATATGACATTCATTTGTAAATATTTCTTGTATCTAGTTTTAGATAGATCATCTCTATGGCAGTAACAATAAAAAATTATGAGAAAACAACTTGTTTAAAWAAAAATTCAGCATCATCTTCATTGTATATGCAAAACTGGAAATTAGCATTAGAATATGTTCCAMACAATAGAGGCATATGATGAAGTGACAAAGAAACATGTATGACAACACTATAAATTATATTTTGTATTTTTACTCGTTATATCGACTTTTTCTTTGCCCTTTTCTTAACTGATAAACAACTTATGCTGTTTTGAGAAATATCAGAATATGCATTGCAATAGACTTTTTTTATAAGAACAAAACAGAGCAAAACAATCATTTACATGGCATAAATTTACATGGCTTTTGTTTCCCTCTAAAGAGAACAGCCTTGTTGATGAGTTTATATAGCTAAAAGGATTATTTTAGTTCAGCCGGTATATCTATCTTCGAAATTAAGTCCCTTAATAGAAGCCCCCTACCGTCATGATCGAATAAAAATATTTTGGGACAAATAATCTATCGACCATTTCAATTGATTACAATTTGAAATTGAAAACACTCATAGATACCAGATGAATTCAGTAAAAACAAACGTAATTTCGTCGAATTAAATCTTCAACGACGGAGGAATAAAAGATTTCCTAAGACGGAGACATTTTATTGAGTGAAAAATAAATGACTTGACCTGTATCATGACATTATTGAGTCCAAAAATTTAAAATACAGTCAATAAACTTAATTTTATTTCAAGAAATCTGATCGAATTCCAGATAAAGATAAAGTGTAGATAAAGTGTTAGATGAGAGCGAAGTAGTACTTTTGGGRATTTTATTCTAGACTAGGGTTTATGGTATACTTACCTTGGATCGCCAAGAAATTCTTTGTTTACCTCTTCAATGTTATCTTCGTGAATGATACAACAATACAATGATGCCTAGTTCCCATACTCTTTGGGGACCCAAAGGTATGGCCAGTCCGAAAAAGACTGGCTCTTATAGTGCTTGTAAGTTGTGACGTGTCTTGTGACGTATTTTCTGGTCAAACTTTTCACAAAAAYCGCTAGAATATAATTTCACCTCCACCGGAGACATTAGGACTTTGGACGAAGAAAATACTGTTATGAAGAAAAAGAAAGAAAAATACTTATGGARCGGCATACTCAATCCTTTCCAAGTGGGATGCGTTTTGAAAAACTAAACTCGAAGCGCATCATAGTATATATCTCTTTAGYGTTTAGGGACCAGTCATTATTTATGTCGGAGGGGAGGGGAGGGGGGTGTGGAGGAGAAAATGTGGGGCCCTCAATTTTTTTTAGTGGAATATGGGGTGCCTTGAAAGGTCAAAAGGAGGATTGGGAGGATTTTTTAAACGATTGAAGGGAGGTACACGAAAAACATAAATGCTATTAGGTTGAGGTATGGAAAAAATTTTGTATTAAAAACATTTTCTACCCTACCCCCTCCCCCCTCCCCTCCTTATGTGGCGTCTATCTACTGGTCAAAAATATTGAGTACTTTACAGCATAAAAGCTTTCAAATATGACGAGTTGTCTTGGTTGATTTCACTGAGACATCATTCGCTGACTTATGCAGAATTTTTCGCATCATGAACTCAAAATTTCAAATATGCATAAAAATCATGATAAATAGTAATAATATCTATATCAAAAGAAAAGCACAAACCCGCAGAGCATCATGGTCAAAGGAATACGTGGTCCATAAGGAACATGCAGCAAGCAAGACGAGTTGCTGCAAATAAAGCCAAAAATTGGGGAGTTGCTACTAAAGAATAAAACTTTAATTTTAATTTTACAAATCGCATTTTCAACTTTTTCAGTGGCTGCAACACTACTTTTTGACTTTTTGAAATACCGGCTTTAACGTCATTATCCTAGGCTTTCGTTCTATTTATTCTATTTACGTATAATAGTAACTGATTTGATAAATCGTGTTATATTTAGCCGGCTCTTTTAAGCTGTCTCTACTATTTTCCAAAAAATACTMTAAATGTCACGCATCAGCGTTGCATTCATTATTACCCTTGGATTCAATTTTGGATTAAGCTAGTTTTAACGTTTTTTCCTTCACCGTTTCTTAAACCTGGCTGCTATTAAAAAAAAATTCAATAAAAAATATTTTAAAAACAACAACTGTAAATTGATTAATCTATCTGTCACGTATCAGCGTTGCATTCATTATTACCCTTGGCTTTGATGCGGTGTTTTCAAACTATTAAGCAACCTTTCTTTTGGTCTGCCTCTGGATTATCCCGAACATTAACGTTGCTGGATAGCTCTTCACTGTCTTTGCTCAGTCGTTTTGTTAGAATRTCTTCTGCTAAAGTGTAGAATGCTTCGTTTATATTCTCATTTGTCTCTGCACTCACTTCAAAAAAGCGTAAGCCATTTTCCTTTGCCATCTGATAAGAAAAAATGTATTTTGATTGTAATGAGCAACAAGCGATGGTGATGATGGTGGTATCGGGTTGTGTGTAGTGATGTTGAGGTTTATGCATGTGGTTGGTGTCGACGATGGTAATGTTGATGATGATGATGTTAATGCTAGTGGTGGTAGTGATGCTGTTGATGCTGATCATATGCATGGTGGTGATGTCGAAGGCATTAATAATGATAATGTTGGTAGTGATGACGATGGTGATCTGATAATGATGATGATGATGATGGCGGTGATGGTGATGGTAATATTGCTGATGGTGATGATGATGATGATGATAATGATGATGGGGGTGAAGTTGATGTAGGTGGTGGTGATGTCGATGATGGTGGTGGTGATAATGTTGATGATTGTAATTGTGGTTGGTGGTGATGATGATAAGGGTGATGATGTTGAAGGTGACAATGACAATGGTGTTGTTAGTGGTGCCCATTATGGTGGTGTGATAATGATGGAGCTCTGGCTTTGTAGTTATGAAAATGGGTTAAACTACCTGCTCTCCTCGTCCTTTGGTGACTGCTCTTTTGTTCTCCATATGGCAGTTGTTTCCAACAATCATTACCTGAGCATCTTCTGGTGCATACTGTAGGTAATGGCAAATCATATTTATTTATATTTGCTTATGTCAAACATTACAACTTTTTAATACCTGACTTTTTAAGTGCGACAGGCTCCACAAGCGATCACTTTCTGCTAACTTCAACAAATCATCCCTCCCTCCTCTGTCTCCCCTCAACAACATCACATGCTTGTTTCAAATAAGAGCCTGGCCACCCCAGGAACCCATGGATGTGTCACTGGCTTCTGTAATAATCTTTATTTTCCATTTTCATATTATAAATATTTACATAATTATACTATAATTTAGTTTTATTTCTAATTTAGTTTTATTTTACATTATATCTCATGAAAAAATGCTTTACATTCAAATATAAGAACATGGCTTTCATTAAATATTAAGGGCTTGGAGTGGAGTTTAGGGGTTGGCAAAATTTTGGGGAGTTGCAGAAAAACATAGAGGGGTTAATTATTAAAACATTTGGTGTACACCAGGGGATGTATGTAATCATTGCCSAAATAATGGGGTAGATGTAATATTCTAAAGACAATTTTAATTTATTTTTACTAAATTGAAGATTACCTCTTCAATGTTTCTTAGCCACTTTGAGATGTTTTCAAATGTCTTTTCTTGAGTGATATCATAAACCACCATCATACCCTGAAAGAATTAAATGTTTCTTTATCTTCAGCTTATCCCCCCCTCCCTCCCATACAAAGACATAAAGTGAAACAAAGTTGAAAAGAAGAATAAAAGCTCACGAATRAAACCTCCTTAGAACCACCCCTTTGAAAATTCCAATCTCCCCGGCCAACAGATATAAGTTGAGAAAAGACCTGTCTCAAATTTATATTGTTACCCGGCTGGAAACAACTTCTAGGCTAATGAGAAAACATGGAGAATAACCCTGGAATAGGGCTAGAGAAACCTAACTGAAACTCTTCTYACAAGTAATGAAGATTCTTAAACCAGAGACCCTAGTCTATATGCTAATGAAGATAATTTTTACATTGTCCCTTGATGCTTCGCGTGCCATGTCCAAACCCCCTCCCCTCCCCCTTTGCCTGAGACCCCAAGGTGAGGTAATATGAATCCACCACCACTATGGCAGCCGGACCCAGCAACATTGATTCCCTATGGAAAGTATGGATATTATTCATAATTTGTTTACCGCTGCTGCTCTGTAATAAGATGTTGTGATGGTATGAAATCTTTCCTGGCCAGCGGTATCCCTTATAAAGAAATACAAATTTAGTACTCCACTACTTCCATAAGTGTTGAAGCATACTTCAGAGAGAGGAATGGGTATGTAGAAGGCTTCAGAACCTACTGCAGGTTATAAATAATAATAATAATAATAATGATAAATATTATTATTATTATTATTATTATATAATAATAATAACTGACTGAATTGAGATTGCTAATGACTATATTTCATATTAAATAATTTATTAAGATAAATTATAAAAAGGAGATTTTGAATATAAAATAACAAATATATGTACAAATCACTTATTTATCGATGAAAACATATTTTTATAATAGATTAATAGCTCAAAACACGAGTCCAGCTCTTCACACTGATATAATATTATATTAAGACTATACAGTTATCATTAAATTCTAAATAATTCTAAATTTCTGCTACATTGGCGTTAAG